AAAAAAATACAAATACAAACAAACACAAAACCAGTTTTACCACATGTAAAAGATCTTAATCACATCTGGGGAAAAACACAAGTTTTTAACCTGGATTCAAAAAATTTTCAGATTTGGGGCTGTAGCTTCAGATCTATTGGTAATTTATTTCATTTGTGAGTGACACAAAGCTGCTTTCCTGTGTTTGGTTTGAACTCTGGGTTTGACTATTGATCTGAGCCTGTAGATCTCAGAGTCATATTAGGTTCATATTTGATGAGCATTTCACTAATATATTCTGGTCCCTAACTATTTAAGTGATTTATACCCGCAATAAAACTTTAAAATCCAATCTCTGTAAAGACTTTAAAACTGGGGTAATATGCTCACATCTATTAGGTCTGGTCAAAACCCAAGCTGCAGCATTTTGAATGAGCTGTAACTCTTTTATTGTTTATTTTTGGGAGAGTCCAGTTAGAAGATCTTCCAGTCTATGGGATATAAACCGTGAATGAGCTTCTCCTGGTCTGTTTGGGACGTAAAACTTTTTAGTCTAGATATATTTTTGAGCTGATAAAAGCAATGCTTTGGAGATTGATTTGAAACTCAAAGTCAGACACACAACCAGCACACCAAGATTTTGGACTTGATTGTTAGTTTTTAAAGACAGTGACTCGATGTGTTTTTCTAAGAAGTTCTCATTTCTTTAAGACCAAACACAGTTATCTCAGTTTTGTCATGATTCATTTGGAGGAAGTTTTGATTCATCCATTTATTTGTTTGAGGTAAACAGATACATAACAATTCAGTTGAACTGTTTTCATTTGGAGACAATGTGTGTGTCATCTGTTTGTCATCTGCACAACTATATGTTAGCCAATATAAAATTTCTTTATAAACTCTGATAATGACAGCATATATAGGCTAAACAAAAGTGGCCCTAGAACTGACCCTTGAGGAACCCCACATGCCAAAGCTATTTGTTTCAACTAATAACGTCCAACAGAATCCTGTCGTTTCCAGCCTGTACAACAATATGTTATAATCTACAGCCCATGTGTCAAAAATACAAGGTAACTTCTGTCAGSCCTGCTAAATAGTTTTTATATTGATGGTAAACTATAAATTTATGATTCTATGCAACAAAATAAACACATYTWAAAGGTGAAGGATAATGAYRCTTGTCCTGCCCCTGAATAAYGGGGCYCCCTGAGCAAWTTAGWTGAGTARCCMTGTATTAATGTCTCAAAATGAGTTGCTTTAAAGCCAGCATTGGTCATAAACTAAATATCCCATAATGCATGTCAATTATGCATGGAAATTCCTYKYTAGAAACTGTGAGAGTTCAGAATTCAAGACTTACCACAACTCAACGGTGAGTGAAACTCTCTTACGTTTAACAGGTTTTCTGTATATTATTTATTTCCCATTTAGTCATCAACGGATACAAGCGGCCGAAATGAGCTTCCTTCGTAGGGTGGCTGGGCTCAGCCTTGGAAATAGGGTGAGGAGCTCGGTCATCCAGAGGGAGTCACTGCTCCTCCACATCGAAAGGAGTCAGTTGAGGTGGTTTGGGCATCTGATTACGAAGCCTCCTGGATGCCTCCCTTTAGAGRTGTTCSGGGCACATCCYRCTGGTAGGAGGCCCCAGGGAAGACCCAGGACTCACTGGAGGGATTATGTATCCTCTCTGGCTTGGTAACACCTTGGGGTCCCCCAGGATGAGCTGGAAAGTRTCACTGGGGAGAGGGATGTATGGGTTTCTCTCCTGGATCTGTTGTCTCTGCGACCCGACTACAGATAAGCGGAAGAAGATGGAGATGGAGAGATTTAGTCAATCTTACATGTAGTACTTTTCAGTGTTTATAAGGACATGTTAAAATGCTGTTTCAATGTAGAAAATACCACATAGAGCTCAGTTATGGTTTGTTAACATATGGCAACACAGGGACCAAAATGACTTGGTCAATGTGTTATGTTTGCAGATGATACCACTTTTTTTTGAGAACAAATGTTAGAGAAAATGCAAGCAGAATTTGTGAAAATACAGAACTGGTTTAAACTCAACAAATTATCATTAAACTTGGACAAAACTAATTATATGATATTTACAAAGAGACAAAGAACTGTTAATATTCCATTTAGAGTTGATGGTGTAGAGATTAGTAGAGTCAGTGAGGTAAAGTTTCTGGGTGTTATTATTGATGAGAAACTGATATGGAAACCTCATTTAAATTATTTAACAATAAAACTAGCTAAATCTACTGCATTGCTTCACAGAGTAAGGGACTTGTTTAATGATAAAGCTCTGTATATAACACATTAATTGTTCCACACTTGGCCTATTGTGTTGAGGTATGGGTTAATGCATGTGAGACTATTACAAATCCTGTTTTTGTTTTGCAGAAAAGGGCTATAAGAGTTATCACTCAAAAAAACTGCCATTATCCATCTAATATATTATTTTGTAAACTGAAATTATTGAAATTCTATGATTTGGCTGATTATAATATTTTTGTTAGATATGTATAAAGCACACCAAAAAACATTACCTTCAAATATTCAGATAAACTTTGCGAAGAGGGCGAGCTGTTATAATCTAAAGCAGGGGTGCCCAAACGTGTTCCCTGAGAGGGCCAAAATGAAAATCAATCTGAGGGCTGCGGGCCAAATGCAATAATATAATACATGAAATGCAAATGCTTTTGAAGTAAAGTTGTTTTAATTTTTATGATTGAGCAAGCAACCAGTGCGGTGGCCCACAGTTTTTTGTTTGTCATTTTTTTGTTAGCCAATGGACGTGCAGAAAATTTGACATACACTCGAGCAACAAAAGCTCATGGGACTTTTCATAAATTAAAATTTGTATTTGTTTTACAAATTGTGCAAATCTAGATGTGTGCTTAAATCTAATCTAAATGTCTCTTGTAGTGTATWTTATGTTTAAATTKAATAYAATTCAAAGAGAAAGTAAGTGCAATGAGTTAGGACTATCTCCTCTACAGCCCTTTATAWACTTGGACCAGTGATTGAAATGACTRAGTGGAAATAYAGTCTTTCTACATAAAACAGGAGAATACAACCTAGCCAGGACAACTGCTGGTGGGCCAAATCAAATGGTTTGAYGGGCCAATTTTGGCCCACGGGCCCCACTTTGGGCACCTCTGATCTAAAGGGAATAGAGATGTTCATGAAACCTAAATTTAGAACATGTTTGAAAGAACGGTGCACTTCAATCCAAGGAGTGGGATTGTGGAATAATTTGGAAGATTATGTTAATAGTGCCACATCAATGTACATGTTTAAGAGAATGATAAAGATTAGATTGTTAAAAAAATATGAAATGGTTTGATATGTAGCCATTCAAATTGTTGTTCTAGAAAGATTTGATGTTTTGTTTTGTTAACTGAAGATTATTACAGTTTGAATTTATACTTGAGAAAAAAGGGGCAGATACTGTAAGATTTTTTTTTCTCTCTGCTGCCTTTCGTTTTATTTTCTTTTTTACTGTACATATAATTTTGTTTTTATGGAATGAACAAAGTTTGAAATTAAAAAATAACATTGCTCAGTAATAGCAATGAGACAAGGAATGTGATGCTTCATGTTTAGTCAAACTTAAACATGAAATGTTGAAGTTAATTATAACTGGCCATTTGAGGGCCACCATAACACTCATGTGGCCCTTGGTGAAAATAAATTTGACACCATTGATCCAGTGTCAATTTCACAGTAAGATTTAAATGTACTAAGACTGACACCTTAGGAGTCAGTATTGGACCTTGTATCACTTAATACGGAGGCATCAAACTCAGTTACATGAGGTTATTTGACTTTAAAGACATTTAAGAAGAGAAGACAGATAAAGATCATCAAAGTTGATTCCCTGTTGCTCTTTCCACACTAAAATCAAAGATTACTGAAAATCATTTTYACTTGAAAGTCGGCCAGCTGTCATGAAAACAATGCACCAAATATGGTGACAAAAAGAGAAACTCATCATACAATCTGCAGAAAAGGCCTTGAAMGAGCAGCTCTGGATCACAACTAACGAACAGTAAAGAAAAGTTATCATTTTACAGTGACTGTTGTAAAGTCCAGACCAGACTAATCCTAACCCAGACCTAATCCAATCCCAAATCTTAGTTAGAAACAGAGAGTGGCAGAAGGGAAACATTTCAAGCTCWACAGAGCTTGTGTGTAAGTTATCTCATCCTCACAGACTCAGTTTTCTCCTGTAAAGATTTTCAAAGGTCCGTTTTTTGTGAGTCGAACAACCTTGTAAAAAACACCAGAGAGAAGGACACATTTATTATATCATGAATCACAAGTATTTTATTATTCCTTCAACAGATTTACTGTATAACATCAAAGCACATGGTAAACATGGGATAAAAACAACCACAGTTACACTTCTCAATTTATCATTCAATAGAATTAGAATATGAA